TCCAATCAATTATGGTAACTCAAATTACTATCCTGAAACCCCGCATTTATCCTTTTTTTTTCTATTCTAAGTATAAGTCACCTTAATTGACCTATTGACCCCAAAATCAATAGTCTTCTCTCCTTTCGAATATCTTCCATCTGGATAAGTTTTATTTCAATAAAGCAAGGGTAACTTAAGTTACCATTCTTTCTATTTTTAGTAACAGAAACCTAAATTCAATAGCCTTCTTCCCATTCCCTACATCTTTTATCACCATAAGTTACATGTTCAAATCAAGCTAAGGATACACAAGTTATCTTCCAGAAACCATTTGTTTTGGACAAAGGGACATCCTAATTTTTTTCAGGGAGCATAAAATCAAAGTGCACAAGTGCTTGTAAGGCAGTTTCTGTCTAATTCAATATTTTTGTGACTTCCAGCTTTCCATCCTTCTTTATAATTGGAATCGCAACTGCCAGAAGATGTTGATTATGCTCAGACTATTTACTTTTTAATTTTATAACTTTTCAGAATAAGCTATTGACAACTAGATTTTAAAATTAAAACATTTAATTAAATTTCGTAGAAAAAGAATTATAACAGATCCACATTACCTTTTATTTTTCTTGTCGCCCCCCTTTTTTAACAAGTGCAAGATTAGAAGCTAAATCCTAAATCACAAATTAATTATATGCCAATTTGATGAAAAAAATCCTGTTAAAAACAAAGAACTATTATATCTTAAATGAAAACTACAAAAAAAAATATCAGTAAAATACGAGAATTGAGTAAAAAAATATTTTCAAATTTTTGCCCTGTATATTATCTTTTCATTCAGATGACAGAATATTAGATGGCTATGTCTTACTTTAGTCATTGTCGATGCAGGTTCAGCAAAAAAATCAATTGATTTTAACTTCAACAACATTGCATCGTTGTATAAAAGTAAAAAGGTATCAAGTGTGGAATAAAAAACACAAGTCAAGGACAGAAGGACAACTGCAAGACATGACTAAACAGAAATCTGAAGTTTGAGCAACCACAAAAACAATGGCTGAACTCAAGGTTTTGAGAAGAGTAAGCGGTCCCTGCTCCATTAGGTACACCTATTATGTTGCTGATGACAAACAGAGAAATTTGGTGACAAATGCTTTTGGTAATTTTCGTAATTCTTGAAAAAACATGGAAGGTAGAATACGTGGCTACCACAAATGGACATATTTGTTGACATCTATGACACAGATACTTCATTACAGCAATCAAATCAAATGATCTTAATATAATGTATAATGTCTGCTCTTTAATCAACCATCACTCTGCCAATCTGAGCACTTGATTTTACAGTACTCTGTGTATTGTGTACCTAAATACCTATCCTAAAGGTACTTTTTAGAAATAAGTTCCAATGATCCAATCACCAGAATTAACACATCGCTGAACAAAAAACCCTTTGAAATATTTAAAACAGAAAAGTAATTGTCAATACTTCCTTTTGGGTATACTCTAGTTTCTATAAATGAATAAGAAAACCAGTTCTAAATATATCTTTTTTATTTTGAATTTTTTAAAGGTTTCATGTGACCTTGTTCTACATAATAAACAGATGTTTTGTGTATCAGCTACAAACAATAACTTAATATACAGAACATAAAATTATATGCCCTAGAAATAAAGCAAAAAATGTATTTACAAATTGAAAATGATTTGATAATACCAAATTAAAAATAAATGTGGATAGTGTCCACATGTGGACACAGATGATGCCCCCGCTTGCATATCATATAGTTATAAAGGGACATAACTGAAGAACGGTAAAAGTGACACTACCCAAATTTGAACTTGATCTGAGTTTTGTGGTAATAAGCATTGTGTGTAAGTCTCATAACATTTGGTTGAGGCTAACTTAAGTAGAGAACAGAAACTAAAAATTCAGCAATTTTTCTATTTGTAATGATGCATAACTCTAGAACGGTTGTGTATAAGTTTTACAACATTTGGATGAGACAAACTAAAAAATTCAGCAATTTTTATGTTTATAATGGGACATAACTCTAGAATGGTAAAAGTGTTGCCACCTAATTTCGTACTTAATCTGTATTATGTAGTAATTAGCATTGTGTATAAGTTTCATAACATTTGGTTGAGGCAAACTCAAGTTAGAGAACTGAAACAAAAAAAATGTACTTGATCTTTACTGAGTTTTGTTGGAATGAATATTGTGTATAGGTTTCACAATGTTTGGCTGGGGAAAACTTCAGTTACAGAATGGAAACTAAAAAATTTTGCAATCTTTCTATTTATAAAGGGGCATAACTCAATAATGGTTAAAGTGACACTACCCAAATTCAACTTGATCTGTGTTTTATCAGTGGTAGTCAAAATTAAACATTGCATTGTATAAAGCATTGATTGTAGTTGATTCAACTATAATCATGGTCAAAGGAAGATAACTCCAATTTTAAAAACATATTATATAAACTTGATATTTAGAAGAAAATAAAAATTTTGCAATTTTTCCTTTTATAAAGGGGCATAACTCTAGATTGGTTAAAGTGACACCACCAAAATTCAAACTTGATCTGTGTTTTGTGGTAATAAGCATTGTGTATAAGTTTCATAACATTTGGTTGAGGCAAACTTAAGTTAGAGAACGGAAACTAAAAATTATGCAATATTTCCTTTTATAAAGGGGCATAACTCTAGATCGGTTAAAGTGACGCCACCAAAATTCAAACTTGATCTGTGTTGTGTGGTAATAAGCATTGTGTATAAGTTTCATTACATTTGGTTGAGGCAAACTCAAGTTAGAGAACGGAAACCAATTTCGGGACGTACGTACGTACGTAAATACGTACAGACGGACAAGGGTAAAACTTAATGCCCCCTCCGGTACGGCGGGGGCATAAAAAAATTGAAGGAACTTTACATAACTCAATTTTTTCTGAATAGCACCTGCTTAAGTTATTTTAAATAAAAAACAGTATAGTATGTTCCCTTATGAAAAATACAAGTTTGACTTAAAAATTTGATACATATGGCTTATAGAGTAACTGGAATAAAAAGTCAAGTACCATTCCATAGATTATTTTTGTTTCTATAAATTAAACCTAGTTTTGTCCATCAAGAAATTTCACTGAACAAATATCATAAAAATTAGCACTCTAAAATTAGTAACTATTAACAGAAAATATACAAACTTCTCACTCAAAAGAATTCTCCTTCAGCTTGTTTTTTTAATACAAAATTTTTAAACAAATATCTTTACAAAAATATCAAAATAAACAAAGTAAACAAAATGAACAAGCTACCAATAGCCATGATGTTGTGCACAATGGAATGATTTGTTAAATGCGTATTGTTCAAGAGATCATGTAGTACAAGAAGAAAATGAAAATTATCAGAAGTTGCCACAAAATGAAATACAAAGTTTCTTAATGACAACAGACTCTGAATGATGCTGATAGCTCACATTGCCCTTTGGACTAGATGAACTAAACAAAAAAAGAAAATCTATAAAAAGAGGTTTTTTTCTCATTTAGTTTAATATCATCAAGTTTAAATCGGATCAAACTGTAAGAAAAAATATGTTTTCAAATAAAGTCGGAGATTAACAGAATATCCTACTTATAATTATGAGGAAAAAAATTGAATTTTGTATTTATTTTCCGTTTCTTTCCATAATTTTTGACTGAGCAATGACATTTCAATACCTACCAGTTCTTTATTTTAAGGAATTCTGCTGTTCACCTTATCATGAAAGCTGAACTATAAACATCTAATTAATAAAAAGAAACAACAGTTAATGAACTTTTTTGCAGCTTTTCTGCCTTGTCTAACACATATAAGTATTTTTTGGTCCACATTTTTCTGAGATCAGACGGAGAATGATTTGACATGATCTGACATATACTTTTTAAAAGTACTCAAATCCAATGAAACAGTTGGTTAAAGTTTAAGTATATTATTATGTTTTAAAACAAAGTTTTAAAAGGTGGGAGTTTAAAAATAAAATATATTACATATAAAAATCTAAGGTGGGTACAAATAAAATAGTCCATAAAATCAAATTGTTCATTTTCAATACATACATAAATTGCAAAGCTGATAAAAATCTCACAATAAAATTCTGTAAAATAACAACAAAAACATCTATATACATATTACAATTTTAGATGCACCAATTTGTTTAAATACATATAGTTGCTTTAATTTGTGTCATTTATTTCAAATCTCACATCTCCCATGATAACGCCTGAATGCATCAATTTCCAAATAAATGCTGAATAATATCTTGTTGCAAAAGAATCTTACTGAGTTCATCACAAGCTAGATTAGGGGGAAACATTAAGAAAAATGTAATTTTTTGGTAAAAAAATGCCTCCCTTTACATGAAAATCAAGTGATTTTGACCGAAGTAAAACTTCTTTATAAGTAAATGTCAATGACAGGAAAAGAGGAGTATGAAGATTTATTTGTAAATATATACTGGCCTAAATTTAAGTGAGCAAAAGATAATACCTATAAGTTTGATGGTTTACTGGACTGAGTATATAAAAATTATTAGAACTTTGTTTAATACAGTCTTGATTATTTAACTATACTATATACTACAGAAAAAAGCCAGGTGAAATTTATTTACTTTTTGATTTATAAAAAATAAGACAGAAATTACAGGTTCAAATGACAAGTTTAGAGACAAGCTGCAATATTTTCAATGAAAAGTATGAAAGTATATACAAATTGTTCAATAAAACACTGTTGATGGCACTTTTCTGTGCTTAAATGAAATGAAAGTTTATACATATGAAGATGAAAAATGGCAGTCAACAATAAAAAAAAATATATATCTTAACAAAAAGTAAAAATCTTAATAAACAGTAAAATACAAAAAAAAACTTCTTTAACGCAAATTTGTTCAAAGTTCATAAAAGATGCACAAAATGCAAAGTCATATATTTCAAGTCTATTGTTCTATATGTAACCTAACTATCTTAACGGAGAGTACGTTTTTTTCAAAAGAAAAAAATATTATGAGTGTCATGGTCAACTTATACATATATAAGTTATCATTACTTTACCAGACAATATTCATATGCTAATGAAATACAAAATAAATGCATATATAAATTTTATACTCTTTCTCACAACGGAGAAAGAAAGACAGAAAATGAAATAAAAACAATAAAATGACTCATAATGTTATAAAAAGACAGGTGGTTGTGTAAGTGTCGTCCGTACATTTTGGTCCGGACTGGAGATACCCTCCGACCAATCAGAATGCGCTGAATGAGGCGATGAACTAGACCACTGTCCTGGTGAATCTGGTGATGGGGTGAGATAATGATCTGGTAGCACTGGTTGATGAATTATCTGTGGCGGTGAGCCCATACTGTGTGTTGATGGAGGAGTAGGGAATTGTTCTAAGTACATTGGTTGTTGAGGGGTTGAAAGTTTTTGCATCCCTCTGCCAAATGTTGTAAATGGCATGGGTTCACTATGATTTTTATTCTGAAATGAACACGTTAGATCAGTCTGTTTGTTTGGTGGACTTCCATTTGCACGTTCTTGTCGCGCACGTTGCTGCATTGCCTGAATATGAGTAGGTGACGTTGGCAAGTTTTTTGGTGGTTTTGATGGTGATATTTTGCCAAGGGGACTAGGATTGGATGGGATGTTTTGTGGTGGTGTTGGAATATTTGATGGCTGAGAATGTTGTGGATTCATTTGTGAATTTTGATGTCCTTGATGCCACAGGGCATACTCTTGCTCCATCAGAGTCTTATCATAACAATTCCGAAGGTCTCTATAATTATTATCATTATGATTCTGAACGTCTAGCACTTGATTCATTGCACAGTTTTTCTGCAGTTCTTCAATTGACTGCTGTAAAGTCTGTTGCTGTAAGAAGTTTTGTCCATTACCATACATACTGTCATATGGTGGAGGTGTACGCTCATAATCCAAAGGAGACGCAATTGAATTTCCCGGTGAGACAGTTCCAATAGATCCCTCACTGATTTGAGAATGTCCATTTCCTTTAGAAGATTTCTTCTTGGATTTAGTTCTTTTTTGGTGTACACCATTGATTAACACTCCGTTGTGTGTAAGTGGAGTACCAAGTCCATTGTTGTGCTTAGATTTCTTTTGTTTCATTTTTGAAGGTTTTTGCTGCATAAAGTGCAGGCCATTTGGCGACGTAGGTAATGACATGGGACTACTAATGCAGTACTCATCTAATAATTGTAAGATATCACCATGCATCCTCTCGCTTGCTATATCACGTGGTAACCTGTCCATATGGTCAGTAATATCACGATTTGCATAATGTTCAAGTAAAATTTTAGCAGATTCATATGCGCCTTCTCGTGCTGCCAAAAATAAAGGTGTCTCATCCTGAAATTAAATAATAATTGTTAGTTTTGTTTTATCAATACAAGACTTTATTAAAGATTTCAAAGGCATGAAGTAATTAACAGTTACTTTATGAATTACCCAACATAATGTTTTTTTTTTAACTTATGTTCTATAAATGTAGTGATTATACTTGCATACACAAAATTACATTGAATATTTTCTTAAATGCGTATTTTTTTTTTACTGAGATTTGAACACTTGTGTACACAGTAACTCCTGTTATATTGTATTGTATTACTTGCTTAATTGCTATACCACTAAAATTTCACTCCTTTTAGTTCTAATATCACATGCATTCAAAAGTTATCCCTCTTTTACTGGTGGTGATTTTCTTTCATTTTGTAATACTTTGCTCGTGTAAAGTGTAATTCTTTGTAGCAATTCTGTACTAGAAATACTGATGGTGTATTTAAGCTATTGCACTCCTTTTTAGTATTATTTTTTGCTTAAAGTAATTGTGATTGCATTGTGAACCACTTGTGTAAAAGTAAGTTAATATGTACCTTGTGGTCTTGTGCATCCCTGTTAGCTCCATGCTGTAACAACACTTGGGCTGCAGTGTAGTTGTTGACAGCAGACGCCCAATGTAAAGCTGTTTTACCTGTATATAAAACATTTTTGTGTAATGTTAGGTTATACATTCCAAGGTTTCTTGCTTAATTTACATTATTATTTTGTATTTAAAAAAAGTTTTACATCTACATTTTTAGAATATTTTCTACTGCGTCAACAAATTGGTATTTCATACAAATAAATGTACTTCAATTGTTAAATCTAGCTTTTCATAATCCTTTTATGTTTTTTTTTTATTTTTCCACTTTTAATTTAGCAGCTTTTAAATCAGATTTAATAGATTTAATAAACAATGTATCTGGATCAAATCTTTTTATGAGCTTTAAAGTTTAGACAAATTATATGATGCATTTGTAAGTGTAAGTTTAAGTGTATGAGTTACCTCAAATGTTTACAAAACCTAAGATAACTAACGTAACATAGTATTTTCTATTCTTTTTTTTCTCCATTGTCAAACTCCCCCATACAATCTTGACCTGAGAGTTCAGTGTTTTTTCTTTTAGATAATTTTGGTTAATAAATTGCTTAGTTTTACTTTTCTCTGGCAATGAATCTGGTGATAATTTAAAAATATTGCATTTAGTAAAGTTTTGTATTCCTTACACATTTTTCGTTTTAATGATTTTAAATTAAAATTACATTAAAACATAAATTTTGTTTTATGGAAAATTATTTTCTTTCTCCATAAGTGTTCTGTTCATTATCATTAGTATTATTTTATTATTTTTACCGTATTCATCAGCAGAATTTATATCAGCATCAGCACCGATTAAATCTTCCACCATCCCTTCTACAGCTAAACGAGCTGCCATTATAAGGGGCGTGGCACCATCCTCCATTCTTGCATTCAAATTAGTGCTTCTGTTTCTTAATAAAATCTGTCAATATTGAAAAATGTTATGATTAAATTTAATCATCGTACATGTATAATGTCTCTAACATAATATAGCTGTAACAATTTGTTCAATCCTGACAACCCACTTATATCAACTTTTCATATTCACATGTAAACATACACCAATTTCAAGTTTCTTTTAATGAATGAATTACACGTAAATTATATCATTAAACAATCAGCTAAGACTGAGATGTAATAACATAAGCATGGTGAGATTGGAAATGTACGGGACAATGTATGAATGTGAAAGTCACCTATAGACATCTTTTTTCTTCAGTGAATAACAAATTTCATGGTAAAAGTTCATGTTAAAATGTTTAACAGTTGTATATATCAATATTTGTCATAGGACACCTGTTAATAACTGAAGACTGCATAGAGACCTCTAGTTGTGTACTTTATTTTCTTGTGTTGTTACGATGGTGTCTTGATCATCTTTCCTCCACATTTCCTACATATGTATGGATTATTCCATATTAAAACATTGAAATGTATAAGTAATTGGTAAAACAGATTCATGTACAATTTTGACAAAATAGTTTTCATAAAATTTTCAGGTACAAAATCAATTCTCACCTGGAAAACACCTTGTGCATCAGCAGCAATTGCAGAATGTAGAGGTGTTCTACCTTGAATATCTGGTTGGTTAGGATCAGCTCCAGCATCTAACAAAATTTTGGCAGCATCAGATCTGGCATACCTAGATGACAAATGTAAAGCTGTTTCTCCAGTCCTGTCTGTAGCTAGGTCCACTGAAGCACCTTGTGTCAATAATGCTTGTATGTAATCCACACAATTTTCTGAATCTCTACTGTCCGAAGAACCTGATCCACCAGATCCACTGGATTCGTTATCTCCAACATCATATCCTCCTCCACGGAAAGCTGCCAACATGAGGGGTGTGAAGCCGTCGGGGCCGCGTACATCTATATCTCTAACTCTTGTGTGATCACAGTCGTCAGGCGGAGTCAAAGCAAGCATTGAATCATTTGAAATGTTTGCTGCTGTTAGATGCTGCTGTGTCCATTGTCGCTGGTCTTTATCCCCATCTAAATTCTGTTCTAAAACTTCACAATCTTTCTCCATCTGAAATATTGTGTATTTAGTTACAGAGCAAAATAAACATAGAAAATTTCAAGAATTTAATTCTCAGCAGAAAACTATGATATGAATCAGATAGCTGAAAAAATATAAAAATGAAATTGTTTTCAACTCTTACTTGGAGAATAACAAACAAAATATAGTTAAGATTGATAGATTGTTGTTTAAATCAAGCTCTGAGTACCTTAAATTAATAAACACCTGAAAAATGAGTACAATTGTAATCCTATCAGCAGATCAGAGATTATCTTAATACAATCTATGTTTCTATACTTATTTAAAGTGAATTTAGTTGATATTATATAATATTTTACCTTGATTCGTTTGGCCTTAGATTCATCCTCATCATCATTCCATGGTGGAGTTGTCGCACCAGTCAAACCATCAAATTGTGGCATCTGATTACCTTTCCTACAAATAAATGAATACTGGTATAGAATGCTGTATCAAATTTACTCTTTTTTCTTTCATTTATTCAAACAAGTTTGACTTGAAATGTAAAAATTTACATATAAAATGGTTAAAATGTTCATGCTATAAGAGGATGAAAAATAACTAAATGTGCTGTGCCTTGCCTGCTGAAAAATATCAAATCTAAAAATTCTTACTTTTCTTCACCATCTGGGACTCGTCTCTTTGATGCTCTTGGTCCAGGAGCCTTAGAACTATTATTGCTGGAGAAAAATCCTTCAGGAAACCAGGTAATGCCTCGTGCCACCTTCTTTCTTGACAAAACAACAATAACAAGTATGGCCAACACCAGAATGCCACCACATGCAACCACAATGTACATTGTTTGGTATGATGTAGCTTCATCTTGACCAGGACCATCTACATCTTCTGAAATAGTAAACAACCAATAACAATACTAAGGATCAAATGTTGTTACACGTCACTGAAAAATCTGTTGTAGAAATATATTTACTACCGCAGAATTAATGTTTATCATAAAATAAGGAGATATGGTGCGATTGCAAATGATGCAACTATCCACAAGAGACCAAGGAACAAAGATGTTAACAACCACAAGCCACTGTACAGCCTTCAACAATGATCAAAACCATGTATAGTAAAGCTCTTTAAAATGTTTTAATGTTTGTCAACATGACAATCTACCATAACTTTATCAATATTAAATTAAACATGACTGTGTAACTATACAAACTGTTTATCATAACTTTTTAGACTTACCACTTGAAACTCTACTGATGGTTGGACCACCATGTGACCAGGATTGGTTCTTCTGAGCTGCTATAATCTGTACTGCTGATTCAATCTTAGTTAAGCACTTCATGGAAGGATCTGTTCTACACTGGCTACTGTCCAATTCAAGATGTACTTCAATTCTGTTAAACAAAAAACAATGATTATGCTTCTTGAAAGGAATACAATATACCTCTTTACCATTCAATCATTTTATGGAAGTTAGCCTTATCTCTCTTTTATTTTTGTTTAAATTAAAATATTTTTCTTGGATACTTTCTTCAGGCCTCATTTAGATGGTGCTTCCCATTTTGAACTTTCAAACTATTACTGGTATAGGTAATTATTCTATAAATTCAGAAAATAATGTGTGAATCTCTGATGACTATCCAGGATGTTAGGAATTATGTTATTTATATCATAAAGTGATAGGACATTACCAACAAGAGGCTGTCAGAGTGACAGCAAATCGGATTTTCCTGCAGAGGTCGAACCCTGAACAGTTGAGCAAGTATGGACACAACATTTAAGCAAAAAACAGCTCTGAATTTGGATTGTGATTGAATATTTGACACAGCATAGGTTTGTGACACAAAATGAATGTGGTCAAAGAACTGAAAAATTTGAAAAATCGGACATTTACCTATTATGGTCCAATATCCAAAATCTAAGTACATTGTTAGAATCAGCATATCAAAGAACCCCAAGAATTCAATTTTTAATGAAATCAAACAAAAGTTTAATTTAGGACCCTTTGGACCTCAATGTGGTATTATCTAATTAATAATGAAAATAAATACAGGTTTAGATTCAGCATTTCAAAGAACCCTATATATATTCAATTCATGTTGAAATCAAACACAGTATAATTTTGGACCCCGATTTGGACCAACTTGAAGACTGGGCCCAAAATCGGAAATCTAAATATGTGTTTATTAATAGACAAACTAAGCTTAGTTTTTAAAGGAGTCTGCTTCATCAAAAAAAATATATAGCATTCAGAAAATAAGTTTATACAGAATAACAAAACAAACCCTACACAAAATTCATCAAACAATTTACCAACGAAAAGAAGAAAAAAAATCCAAAATGTCATTTGTCATTAATACATTAACTATTAATAAACTGCTTCGCTGAGTGCAGCTGGATACGCCACAAAGAGGTCCAACCCTGACCAGCTGGGGCAAAAATGGACACAATATTCAAGCTTGATACAGGTCTGAATTTGGATTGTAATTAAATATTTGACATATTATAGGTTTCTGAATAAATGTAGTCAAAGAACTTAAAATTGGTTATATGAATTGAATTTATATTCAATTAAAGATTTCTTGCTGTTGTGCAATACACTGTGCTGTTGCGCAATACTTAGTAAATCTGTTGTCAGACTATAAACAAATAAAGTTCAATTAATTCTCAATGTCATATTAGAAATTTATGAAAATGTAAAGGGAGCTTACATCAATAGATATAAAAAATTCATCAAACTTACGTGAGAATTGCTGACAGCATTTTTGAGTTATTGTCCGAAAACTGGAAAATCCCCCCTTTTTTAATGAATAAAACCCCATAACTCAGAAATGTAAAATGTAAAATTTACAAAATTCTAAACGGAGCTCATGTCAATAGATATAAACAATTCACCAAATTTTCATAAGAACTGCTGAAAGCATTTTTGATTTTTTGTCGGAAAACTGGAAAATCCCCCTTTTTTTATGAATAAAACCCTGTAACTTGGAAACGTAAAATCTAAAATATATAGAAATCAAAAGGGAGCTCATGTCAATAGATATAAACAATTCACCACAATTTCTTGCAAGTTGGTGAAAGCATTCTTGAGTTATTGTCCAGTAAACTGCTTCGCTGAGCGCAGCTGGATACGCCCGCAGAGGTCCAACCCTGAACAGTTGGGGCAAAAATGGACACAATATTCAAGCTTGATACAGGTCTGAATTTGGATTGTAATTAAATATTTTACATATTATAGGTTTCTAAATAAATGTAGTCAAAGAACTTGAAATTGGTTATATGAATTGAATTTATATTCAATTAAAGATTTCTTGCTGTTGTGCAATACACTATGCTGTTGCACAATACTTAGTAAATCTAGTGTCAGACTATAAACAAATAAAATTTATAAAATTTTAAAGGGAGCTTAAAATCAATAGATATAAACAATTCACCAAAGTTTCATAAGAATTGCTGATAGCATTTTTGAGTTATTGTCTGAAAACTGGAAAATCACCCCTTTTTTAATGAATAAAACCCCATAACTCGGAAATGTTAAATCTAAAATTTATAAAATTCTAAAGGGAGCTTACATCAATAGATGTCAACAATTCATCAAAGTTTCATGAGAACTGCTGAAAGCATTTTGAGTTATTGTCTGAAAACTGGAAAATCCCCCCTTTTTTTTATGAATAAAACCCCATTACTTGGAAACGTAATATCTAAAATTTATAAAAATCAAAAGGGAGCTCATGTCAATAGATATAAACAATTAACCAAAATTTCTTGCAAGTTGGTGAAAGCATTCTTGAGTTATTGTCCAAAAACTGGAAAATCACCCTTTTTTTAATGAATAAAACCCCATAACTCAAAAAACGTAAAATCTAAAATTTATAAAAAACAAAAGGGAGCTCACGTCAATAGATATAAACAACTCACCAAAGTTTTATGCAAATTGGTTAAAGCGTTTTTGAGTTAATGTCCGACATGTTGACAACGGACGGACAGAGGTATACCATAATAGTCCCGTAAACGGGCGTATAAAAACTGGAAAATTCCCCTTTTTTTAATGAATAAAACCCCATAACTTGGAAACGTAAAATCTAAAATTTATAAAAAACGAAAGGGAGCTCACGTCAATAGATATTAACAATTCACCAAAGTATAATGCAAATTGGTTAAAGTGTTTTTGAGTTAATGTCTGACATGTTGACGAAGGACGGACAGAGGTATACCATAATACGTCCTGTCCCGTAAACGGGCGTTTAAAAATTTATCTGTATTTATCTTCAAAATGTCTAATAATGAACAGTAAATTTCAAACTTTATTTATACTGTCCTACAGATCTTATCATCATCAACACTTAGGTAACAGAAAATTTTCAAATAAATCTGTCACTCCAATTATAATTGTGTGATAAGATATTTACCAGATGCTTTGTTATCTGATAACAGATGAAAATTATTTAAAAACACTTAGTGTAATCAAACTTTATATATATAATTAATAGTTCCCAAATTGTTTTCTTTCATTTGTCACAAACTAATATAGATCTGCAACTTATCTATCAATGTCAACAATTTTATCTACACAATGTAATGTAATGAAATATATCCTTTAATAAAAATAGATTATTATCTAATGAAAATGATATTTGCAAATCACAATTTCTGTTCAAAGGGAAATAATGCAATCATATAATAAGTATAACTTTTGGCTACTAAAAGGTCGACAACTCAACAACGAGAAAAGCTAAAATCGTGAAAATTGAACTTGACCTTCATTTAGTCACTGGAAACTACATATCTAAATTTGAAAAAATTTAGTCAGTGTTTGCATGTTAATGAACAGACACTGTTTGGCAGCCGCCCACCCGGCCTACATCCCCAAATCAATAACCGATTTTTCCTTCGAAAATACGGTTAACAATACTAATATAAATTCAGTGAACATTCTGCCACACTTTAAGCATAGATTAAAACATTGCAATAATTTCTGAAAGGTTGACTGTTAGTCCTCTAGAAAACCAATCTATCAGTTTGTCACGGCTTCAGCACATATATGACTTATTAGACACACTTTGATAGATGTTTTTAGTTATTGATAAGACAAAAGCGAAACATATTTTCCCCACATACTCTCCTTCATTCCAGATTAAATTTATTGTACAATCTTCTCCTTTTCATAATGTGCACAAGGAGAGCACATGCATTTAGATACAAAATTTCCTTAAAATTCAGTATTTATGTCCTAATTGTTTGGTTTTTTTTACAAAATTGATGTTTGTAAGTATTTTCAAACTTTTCTTTAATTAACTATTTTCACAATATTGAAATTATGTCTGTTCTTACAAGAGTTTTAATGTGGAAATATAAAACAATATTTACCCTTCAATTTTAACACTCTCTCTTTTGATCCTGTTGATAATGGACCTTTTCTCTCTATGGAGCCCATTAGAAGACCAAGGTTTAATAATAAAATTTCCATTAGCATCCTTCTTTATCTTGATCACAACATTCAATAACAGTCCCATGTTACGTAGAAATTCATTTGCATTAATCAGGAAATCGTCTTTGGTAGTTTTATATATGAATATAACCATTGTGCCTTTTAAGCTGTTCATGGGAGTAGGATTGTTACAATCATTGCCGTCCCAGTTACATGGAGCATTATTACATCCCTGATCACAGTGACCATTGCCATAATTCACCTCACAGTAGGACTTAAAGTTTGGGTTACATGTTGGATTACCCATGCAATCCTTGCCATCAAATAAACAGTCCTCCATGTTACAGGCTTCGTCACATTTACCATCCTGGAACACTTCTGAGCAGTAGACACCATTTACTGGGGCCAGACAGTCCTTCCAGAGATCTTTAACGCCAAGGGAACAGTCTCCTCCATCATACTGACAAGCCATGTAGTTGCAATTAGACTGAAATTGGATTGTTAAGGTTAAGTATTAAAAAATAAATGGAGAATGTGTCCATTAGACACACATGATGCCCCCGCTTGCATATAACGTTATAAAGGGGCATAACTCAAGAACGGTAAAAGTGACACCACCCACTTGATCTGTATTTTGTGGTAATAAGCATTGTGTATAAGTTTCATAACATTTGGTTGAGGCAAACTAAAGTTAGAGAACAGAAACACTTAATGCCCCCTACAGTGATGGCGGGGTCATAAAAGTCATGGGGAATAATCATCATGATTGTTAACATTTGTATTAATGACATTATTTGGTGTGCAGGCATGTTCAAAACACAGTATGTGTAATTGCTATCAATATTGAAACATCTATGTCTTAATTTTATTTTTTATTTACCAAATTTTACTTAAATTACTATTCCACACAGATTTTAAACATATCTGATGAAAAAGACAAAAAACCTGTTTTTATTAGACCCCAAACATTATCCTTTATTCTTTGGGACAACTATCTTAAAAATTCTTTTTTCATGATGGATTAGATTTCAGTACTAAGTATCACCTAAATATACAAATTATTATTATACAAGATTTGTCACACGAAATGTTCTACCACTAATTCATTTGTTTCAAACTTATTTCACAACAAATATGTCTATGTCGGTATTTAGTCTTCCTACATTCTATTTGAAGACCTGTAAACTAAAATAAACTTACATCACATTTGCCATCGCCTGCTACAGAGGAGCATCCTCCATCATTACAGTAAACCTGTTTGGGATCAATCACAGGTGGGCTGACTGTGGCTTTTCCTAATCCAGGGTTAGCATTCAGGTCATGTACTTCACAATTGACACCAGTAGAATATCTTGGACACCAGCATTCATAGGAACCTGAAAAAATAATTCAAGAACATGGTTGATAACTCTTCCATTCATCAAAGTAAGACATGAGTTAAGCTTTGATTTTATTTGAACATAGAAATTTGCATTTAAAAATATTAAAATAATGAAGTTACATACATAATGGGAATTCATAAAATGTTTAAGCCATCTGAAATAAGTGACATGCTATTTTTATTTGACATCAACAGTTTAAACTATCATCCATTAGGTACTTGACTCTATATTAAAGTTTAATAAAATTGACAATTTTAAAACAAAGTGGGAATATTTCTGTATCTTAAAAAAATAAAAAGTGTCATTTTAAAGCTCTAGATATTATAATTACAAGGTAAAAAATTCACCTTTGCATATGTGACAATAATATAACATTAAACTTCTTAAAATTACTCTTTAAAATTATTTGAAAACCCCCTGTGTGACACAATAAATAACATAACAATTATTTTGATAGCAACTGTTGTTATAAAGTTACTACTTAACACAAGCAACAGATATAAAGTTACTAGTTAACACAAGCAACAGATATAAAGTTACTACTTAACACAAGCAACAGATATACTTTTCCTACCCTTTCAACATTTCGCATACTGACAAAATATACTGTGAACCTTAAGTTTCGTTATATTGTGATTTTGATATCATATTGACCAATTTCTTTGTATCTCTACCTTCTTTTCACTTTATCTATGCATTCTGAACCTTATATAACTTAGTTTACCCCCACCCCCTCCCCCCAAAAAAACGAAGAATTGAAGATGGGTCAACATAGGCTCCTTTGGACATGAGTTATAAATACCCAGCCCCCATAAATGACAAAGATAGTATATGATAATTACCTGGTTTATCTATACAGGATCCTCCATATCTACAAGGATTTGACTCACACTCTTTAACAACATCATACTGACAGAATTCACCTTCTGTACCAGGCAAACATATACAATGAAAACCAGAGCCATAATTTTCACATCTGGCATTGTTGTAACAACTGTTTGGCGTACAGAAATCTGAGATAATTCCACAGTTTGGTCCACTAAAACCTGACTTACAAGTACAAACATGAGAATGTTTCCCATTGGAACAGGTTCCTCCATTCAAACATGGATTGGTTTGACAATAATTGACAGCAGTACTACAATTCTCTCCAATCCATCCTGGGTTACATTCACATTTATATGTATTTTCCAGCTGAACACAGGCTCTTGTACCTCCTGGATTACATGGTTTATAGATGACACATTCATTTATGTCTCCCTCACACTGATCTCCAACAAAGCCAGGTTTACACTGACATTCAAACCCTCCGACTTTGTCAATACAAGTACCACCATGGTGACATGCTCCACTGTAGCAATCTTGTTGGTTCACTTCACAGAAATATCCATTGGTTCCAGGTGGACACAAGCATGCAAATGTATTGACCAGGTCAATGCATGTTCCGCCATTGTTACACGATTGGTTCTGACAATCGTCCACATTGATATCACAGTTCGTTCCTTGAAATCCTAACTTACAAGTACACTGGTAATATCCTTCAAAATCATGACAAGTGGCCTCATTCTGGCATGGTGCTGATGCACACTCATTGATAACAATTTCACAGTAACTGCCTTCATATCCTGCTTTGCAATCACAAACATGGTGATCAGCTGTGTTACGACAATTTCCACCATATTTACATAACTGACCGACAGAAATACCCTGATTTTGTGCTGCAGCTTCACACGTCATTCTACTGATGTCACAGGTTTTACCAGTATAACCAAGTGCACAAGTACACTCAAAAACGTTAGCATTCTGCATACAAGTTCCCCGATTCTTACATGGATTAGTTTCACACCAGTCGAAAAATTCCTGAAATGTTAATAATTCATGAATGTATACATCAACTGCACTTTGTACCCTTTCTAAATATTTTTGTGAGATGAATATTAAAAAATTCAGCAAAATAAAAAATTCTTAAAATAATGAAAATAGGAAAAAGACAACATGACATGAAGTAATCTGATGTCTATTTATTGAATAATTAAAGTACAAAATTACACATTTTAATTGGTGTGTTTAATGTTGAATAAACTCTTTTAAAATTATTGTTCACAGACTTTTTGAGTTCCATTGTTTTAAAAGTAAATATATCGTAAGGGCTGTATTAATATGGTTTCCTCTAAAAAGGGGTAGTAATCCTGGCATTTCAAATGCATTTTCATTCTTAACATCAAGAATCACACAACCTTTTGAAATTTAAGGATTAAATGGCATAATCCTAAAATAATATATGAATTTTAGTTTATTTCATACATACATGCTTGCAGTCAGATAAACCACTTATAATAACCTTATTTGTATCACAGCCCTTAACCTTGATAAAATTAAGAGATATTTTCTTTTTCTTCCATCATTAATTGTCAATATAAATTGATATTTTCCTATTCTAGAATATGTATTACCTCACAGCGAGGTCCTGTGAAGCCATAAGGACAAACACATTCCCATGACGACTGTTTGTTTGAACAAGTAGCTCCATTCATGCATGGATTACTATCACAAGGATGTATCTTCGTCTGACAGTTAGTTCCTGTGTAACCATTTGGACAGACACACTTATAGTAGTTCTCTTTATCTATACATGTACCTCCATTTAAACAGGATCTAGAAACAATAAAAGATGTAAATAACTCAGTTATGTTCAAAATATGCCTTTATTAATCTACTGCTGGAAGTGTTTATTCATACATTAATTTACATTGTAAAATAAGCTCAGTAACTACCTTGATTAATAAATAGTGGTTGATTCAGCTTCAAGTGGCAAATCTTTCATGCATATTCAAGGCAATACTGCAAAGAAACTTACTTTTGCATATACTTTTACTTGAGCTAAGCCCTTTTAGCTGATTTTGTGGCGATTTACTTATGTGATTGTTCAAATGTGTTGATATATTCATATTAGAGAAGAGTCAAGTCTGGCATATGCAAAGATTTATATTCATATTATTTTTCTATTTGTGAAAGTTATGTAAATAAATTGATCATAATACTTGTTCGTTTATAAAATATATAAAAACTGATTCAATAAAAGATCAATCCAAAAGTATTTGATAAAACTATTTTGTAAGTCATTAGTCCACTTTCTGTGTTTGCCCTCATGCACTGTCTTCACTCCTCAATAAAACTTAATGCTATGAATTTGAAGTACAGTGAATATTGCATTTAAACTTTACAGAAATAAACTTACGAGAGTGTACAATCATTGTCATCATTCTGACAATCCTTCCCACTGTAACCAGGACGACAGGTGCAGGTATATGAATTCACATAGTCTGTACACACAGCTCCATTCCTGCATGGGTTAGATGCACATTCATTGATGTCATTCTGACAATGTTTGCCACCGAAGCCTCCAACACAAACACATGTGTAATCGTTAATGCCGTCAAAACAAGTCCCTCCATTTTGACAAGGGTTAGGATCACAGTCATCATGGTTGACTTCACAGTATTTTCCTTCATAGCCAGGCAGGCAGGAACAGTTGAAGGAACCATAGGTGTTATGGCATGTCCCACCGTTGTGGCAAATTTTGGGCTGTGTACATTCATTATGATCAACATCACAATGTCGTCCTTAAATAATACATATAATAATTAGTATATCAGCTATTCCTGTATTAAATGCAGTCTAATCCTATATTATTAATACAAACATCTCATACAGATTTAAGTATGGACGAGATATGGTTCTAAAATAACCTTTGTTTTGTATGATCATCATCAACTGTTTGGAAAGTTAAATACAAAAAAAAAATTACAAGCATTAAAATTAAAATGACCTTCAAAGAGCAACAATAACTGACTAAGGTCAACTTTTACTGACGCAGTTGTAACCTTAACTCATACTATCAGTATCACTCAAGAGTTTATAGAACAAGTTTATATTACGTTCAGTCTAATCTTATAAATACAAAGTCATTTACTTGCATAAATATTCAACCCAAAAGTTATCATTTTATGACATTTACCTCACATCACCTTTTATTCTTACTATTAAAAGAAATTGAAATTGGTTTTCACAAAAATTCAATTTAAAAAAATGGACACAGTTTTTGCCAACTACTTACCTGTAAATCCTATCTGGCAGCGGCAATAATAATCCTGGTAGTTTTCAGTCACATCACAGTTGGCACTGTTCCTGCAAGGATTGGGAGAACATGGGTTCATTTCTTTTTCACAATTAGAACCACTCCATTGCACCTCACAGTGGCAAGTGTATCCATTGGGCATGTCTACACAGCTACCATGTTTACAGGGGCTACTGGCACATTCATCAGTGTTGATCTCACACTGAGTACCTACAAGTAACAAATTAGTGATTTAGTTCTTTCAAATTATGGTATGTTCAGCATAAAATTTAAGGTTTCTCTTAATGTCAAAATTAACGCCAGACAATAAATCTTAATATTTTTTCCATGTAATACTTTAATGTGGTATAAGACCATGAATTGTATCTGAATTTTGATCTTTTTTTTGCTAATTTCAATTTTATTAGAGGAAGTGCACCCAGTCTAAACTTACCTGTGAATCCAGTTAAACAACTGAACCCAATCTAAAGTTACCTGTGAATCCTGGTTAACAACTGAATCCAGTCTAAACTTACCAGTGAATCCAGGTAAACAACTGCATTCATATCTTCCAACCAGGTTTCTACAAGTGCCACCATGTTGACAAGGATTAGATTGACATTCATCTGCTAACATCTCACAACGACTGCCTGTATATCCAACTGGACACTCACAATCAAACCTGTCATTAATAAAGTCTCATGTAAATTATGGATGTAATAAAACACTGTATATTCATATTATTCTGTTGGTACTTGTTAAAAGGTTTTGTTTTCAGGATATTGTGAGAATATATCTTTTTTTCATCAAAGCAAAGGAATTATGTATTTTGTTAAACACTGAATTTGGCGGTTATTACCCTTAGTGTGAACTTAAATAAAATTATATTAAAGTTCAATCATTTTTTTGCCAATATCTTTCAGATATAAGTTCTGAGTATTTACCTCTAACAAAATATTAACACATTGAAGTGAAAAAAACCCAACCTAAAACATGTACAATCTTTTGACAGTCAATAGATGTCTAAAGAAATAAATTTAGCTGAACGGCTCATTAATTGAAAAAAATGAGAACATTTGTATATATTTCGAAGATAGGCTTACATAAAGTTATCCATATTAACTTTAATTACATTAAGTATTGCACCATTACTTGCCAAATATAATTCTGATCTGTTGTAAAAAAAACAATAAACATTTCAAGATTTTTCTGGAGAAAAACAATTTTATGTAGCAAAAGTATTTACAGAGAAGTGCAATATGTAGTTATCCTCCTTACCTGTTTACACCATCACGACAAACACCGCCATTCAAACATGGATTACTAACACAATCATTGATATTGGAGATACAGTTGGCATCATAATAACCAGATGGACAATCACACTTGTAAGCATTCACCATGTCCATACAAACACCACCATTCTGGCACGGTGATGACGCACATTCATCTATGTTTATTGAACAATTGCGACCTATAATAACAAATTTGTAAATATATTCAATGACTATGTTGACTTGATTGATTAAACATATACTGTTGATTCATTGATTTTTGTGGGTACCAATTTTCATGGATTAAGGAAAAATTGTATTTTCGTGGATATTTGATTTCGTGGTTTGACAAAAGTTTACCTACGAGCCTATAGATGATTTGGTTGAACATTTGAATTCGGGGTTCACCTGTACCCAAAAAACCACGGATATTGGTATCTAAGGAATAATGAATCCACAGTTCTAGCTCCAGTTCTGTTTCATGTGACCTGAGATACATTATTTCTTCACTACTGATATATACTTTATGATTAGCGGCAGATTCAGGTGGGGGCGTATGTCACCCCATTGATAAAAAAAAAAAAAAAATCATTGGCATAAAATTGTTAAATATTTTTTGAATTGCTACTCTGTGCATTATTCTTACCATTAGGAACAATGACCCCTTTTCCTTCAACCCTGGATCAGCCCCTGATAATAGTTTATAATCTTTAAAATAAGACACACTAGTTGAAGATTTAATTTCTTAATTTTTAATTTATGAAAAAAGACTGGTTCCATCTCAATCACAAGGAAAATATTTCTGTCATAAATATGGCGAATCTCATAGTTATTACAACCATAACACGTAAAATCGGTAACTTAAATGAGAGTCTTAATAGCTAGTTTCATTAAAATCACATTACATGTACATGACCAGACATTGACCAAGTAAAAAAAATAATTGATACTCATATTTCCAAGAAATTTTTAAACATTTGCCTCTCAGCATTGTTTCTGATAATGTGTAGTTAAAATTGTACACATTTTTTTCTTAACTATAATAATCATATGTATTTTTCCACATTATGTCGTAACAACCAATTTTTTAAGAATGTATAATTTCACAACCATTGCAGTCAAACAAAAATATACCTACCGATATATCCCGGTTTACATTTACATGTGTAGTTATTAATTCCATCTTCACATGTCGCTCCATTCAAACATGGATTGTTAATACAGTCGTTCCCATTTGTTTCACAATTCTTCCCTGTAAAATAGAAATAGTGTTCTATGTAACAGATAACAATTTTATAATGTTATTCAATAAGTAAATGAAAATAGTCTCCTCAAACCTATTTAGAAGGGAAATTTTGTTTTTTCCTTTCTACAGTGTGTAAATGTACATTTACATTGTCTACAAAATGAAAGAGTTATCCTTCTTTTCCCAAATAGCTGTTTTAAAGCAGACTTTTTTTGTAGAGGAATATTAAAAGCCATTAAAAATATTATATATAGGTACTTAAAACGAATTAAATGAGTTAGTTTATAAATCAATTCACCTTTAATATTCTCTTCATAGAAACTACTCAGGTATATCTTTTACCTGCCGATTCACCTTTATCAATACCTCAAACATTATAATTCATAAAATACTTGAAAATAAAAATAAAATGCTATAATCTTCCCCAGTCAACTCTTACAGTACATTTTATGGTATAAGATTCAATTTTCCCAACATAACTTCTTAATGTGCATAAATTAAGAGTTCATTAAAAGTATATTATGACATATTATGGGCAGTGTTTAACCAATCAGAGAGCTGAAGTAAAGCAGATGGCTTCTTTCATGTAAGGTTGCTATGTGAAAACTGTACCGTATGACAATTATTTCACCTTTGCTTTACTTAACCATCTGTTGACTTGACCCTCAAGTGTCAGCATAAGGAACATATCCTCCGTTACTTACACCTGTCCACAGGTTTACCTTATTTTCAAAAAGCTTCTGACCTTATTAATTGATTCGATTTTCATATTTAGTACTTGTAAGCATATATGCAGCTGTTCTTTGCAACTTGGATTCATTGTAAGGCATAATTATCAAATATGGCCAGGCCATTTGTATATCTGAGCCTTATAATAACTTTAACTGAAGTTCTATTACGAACCCTTAATTAAAAAATTTTTTTTATAATAAACTTTCTCAATTGAACATTTACCTAACATTGAATTCTTCCCAAAATAAAAGAAGAAAGTATCTGAGGATACGAATGCCCCCGCTCAAGTTTTGCAATTTTTCAAGTTAAAAAGTGGCATAACTCAAGAACAGTAAATGACTGACTGCCCAAATTTGAACTGTCTGTATGTTGTGGTTCTTAGCATTGTGTATGAGTTTCATAAAATTTGGATGAGGAAAACTGAAGTTAAGAGTGCAGAAACATAAATGGGACAGATGGACGGACACAAGGACTGAAGGAAGGAGGGAAGGATGGTCAAGGGTAAAACTTAATGCCCCACCGTAGTCAAAATATAATGAATGCTGCTATGTATTAAGTCACAAATGCATTCTCCAATCATGATCATTTTTATTACATAATTTAAACTCCTATGAGTTATCTGATATTTTACTCAATGATTCTGTTCCTTGTTCTCGGCCAATATTTCCAAAGAGTACTGTATCAGGGTCCGACACTTACGGTTGTCCGATTGCCCGGGGCAAGCTAATGCCGTATTCGGACAAGTAAAAACATCATCTTGGTTGTCCGATCGGGCAAGTGAAAAAAAAAGTGTTATATGATTAAAATTTCACAAAATCAATAGTGTCTGTTGTTTTGTCCATAGATTACTCAGTGATAACACCGCACGGTCGAGTAAAGTGGTCTTAACCCCCCTTCAATGCGTATATTTCGTCAATTGTTCGCACTGAATTCCCCATTTTACCAAAAATAGATCACGTTTAAAAATATTGGCCAATCAGGCGGCCGCGGCGTTGCTTCGTCATTATCGTTATCCATTGGGACACCACTCGGGCGTTTCCGACGCACGTGTTATTCCCACCGACCAATGGAAAGCGGAGGTCTATTTTCGTTGTTCTAACTTTATAATTTGACATCGGATGTGTATTTCCCTAAGATGGAAAAACGTAAAAGCTTGAAAGAGAAAATGAAATTAAACTTTAACAAATTTGTCAGTTGTTGTCAGTTTATCAAGAAGGGTTTTTTGAAATGGCATTTCTTAGATAAATTATTATGAAATAAGTATCTCTATGTAAATGATCCAATAGTATATTTTCATACTCCATAATCAATTTACACCCCATATACATCATAACTATATTTTATCTGCATGTACTACATTACAACCACAAAAATAGCATGTAAAAGTTTGGGCATGTAGATTTCACTTTCGGACAAGTAAAAGTAATAGGGCACTTGCCCAACTGGACAAGTTGGTATAAAAGTTAATGTCGAACCCTGTGTATATCAGTTGATGTAACTTTCTAATTGTATAAATGTCTCAAAACATTCTAATAGATCAAACAATTAAAGCAGGAAGAAAAAGAAAAAGTTGAAAACTACACTAGCTTTCTTGGTTGTACTCTATAAATTATAGTGGCCTATGACACCAAAATTCCAAGAAAACTGATAATCAACAATGTTCATATGCCTGTATCTATTTTGTTTCCTCTATACAACACAAAATGTTCTACACGCTAACTAAATAAATACACAACCCCAAATCTTAGGTAGGTACACTAAGTAAATCAACATCACATTGAAATAAGGTGACTAGTAATTCCTGAATGCAAATATTCCCTTAGGCATCAGTAAATTTGTATCCAATTATTTCTTATTCCATGCAAAAGGAGTCTGTTCACACCTTTTACCCATCTGAATTACAAATGTAGTCCAATATGGATAATACAAACTTCAAAGTTGCCTCTAGTCAATTACTGATCCATTGAAACTTACATATAATTATCAACTTTAGAGATAACATTTAAATTTTGATTGTTACCAATTACCGCTAGATCTACTTATTTAGATATAAATCATTTTCCAGTATTTGATTATCTTGCCATTTTAGCAACCAAGGTTTAAAAACAAACGTGTGGTTTTGTGTCCATGAATATCAAATAAAGGTCATCATATTATATATATGTATTCCACTACAAAATAACAATGGGTTGGACTGCTTCAAATTTTCTCCCCACTTTATGCTTTCTTTTTTAAAGATTTTATTAACAAAAAAGTAAAAACATGTAGAATAATTGCCCATTGACACTTACTATTCAACAAAAGGTTGAGAGTGTAAATATATTCTAAAATCTGGAAAAATATATCCTCATTTCTTTCCTCTTTTTTCAGTACTAAAACCCTCTCAACAAACTGGCAATTCAATCACAATGACAGTATAACACCAAACAAATAAAAGAATAGTGGTATAGTTTCTTAATTTTATACAAGAATTATTCTATATAGTTTGAATCCTTCTCAAATCATCCATAGCATAGGATACTCACTATTTGGGACTACAAATAGGTTCATAAATCATTTATCATAAATACAAAATTTTCAGAAAAATCAACATGATATATATATATTTCTATTATACCAACCTGATGTTCCAGTCAGACATCGACACTCATATCGTAGTCCATTACTGGTTGTATAACTGAAACAACTGCCTCCATACTGACAAGGCTGGGAATCACAAACATTGATCTGTACTTCACAATGGGTACCAGTATAACCTTGTAAACAGGAACATGTGTAGGTACCCAGACCATCAACACATGTTCCATTGTGACAATCGATGTTCTGACAATCATTGATATTCACCTCACAATTTACGCCAGCAAAACCTAAAATATAACTGATTTTATTAACAAAGTTTTCTTTATCAGAGAGACACTAGTTACAAGGGAATCTGTTCTGTTATGTGGGTTTGGGTGAGATGGGAATATGCTTTATTCCTGTGACATTATGAAATATCCATTTTCAATTTTAAGGAATTTTGTACTTGATTGCAGGTATTTTAAATCCTATGAAAGACTTTTAAATCGGAAATGAAGTAAATAATATCAATTTTAATTTATGTTTATCAATACTCATCTTAAAATACAAATCAAAAGCTACAGTTTACAATTATGTAAAATCTAAAGTTGTTTAAGGAAAATTTCTTGAAAATTGCTAACACATGACAATTCTTTATCAAGTATGTAAACAAATTACCATTCCTACAACGACAAACGTATGCGTTGACATTATCTTCACAAGTGGCACCATTGACACAAGGAGAACTTTCACATTCATCTATATTCAAGGCACATGTAGGACCAGTAAAACCTTCAAAACAACAATGTAATTATGAAATAATTCTGTGAAACATTTCAATAATATATCCAATTTCCACTTTGCAACAATTATGTTTGACAAGCTGATTGTTAGTGTCATGAAGGTTCTGAAACAATCATGTCACTCTCACAGCATTTAGTTCTATACTTGCCAGCTACTTACATGTTAAAAGGGAAGGATTACCAAAGTTCATTTCAATACACAAATGTATGCAATTCTTCCAAATCTCAAATATTCTTATTTAAATGATAATACAGTCTACATGTATTGTATTTCTAAATTACTAAATAGGAAACATTACACCTGTATCCAATTCAAATAAATCTTGGGAGTTTAATGCAAATTAGAACCACAGTTTACTGGTCATGACACCCATTATAGATCTATCAATATAATTCAATTATGCAATCAAGGCTGTGGAGGAGGGTATGTTAAAGAATCAACATTTTAATCCCTTCAAAAAATTTATTTGGAATCGGTTAAAAAGTTTCAAAATGAAATTAAACGAAAGTAAAAAAATGTAACAACCTGATGGTTTTAGTTCAAACAAACTGAAGGTTTAGGTGAACAACATACCTTGTCGGCAAGTACACTTGTACTTATTGACTTGGTCTTCACAGATCCCATGGTTTTGACAAGGGTTACTTTTACACTCATCAATTTCATTCTCACAGTGGATTCCTTCATAGCCTACAACAGAAAAAGATATTTTAACACCAACACTAAAAGATTTCTTTGGGGGAACTCTACATATTGTAAGCAGTATAATTGGCACTTTATAATGGCTATCAAGATTTTTGTAAAATTACGTTCACCATGTATATTTCAAGATTTCAAAATAATAAAACTTGTTTACTTGTTATAAGAAAAGAGATATCTGTATTTCACAATACACAGATAATTTAAAAAAACATCAAATACTACAGCAAACAAAAGAAACTTCAGAATATTTGGTAGCTTCATTGCATTTAAATCCTTGTAACAACCCATTCTTTACACTGAAATATCAGATATCTCCAATGATATCATGAAGGAAAGGTTACAGCATAAACATAATTACAATAGTACATGAATATCATTTAAGAGAATGAGTAGTGTCATGACAAAAATGCTATAATTCTGAAGAAGTAACCAGAGAAATACCCAAATTGTATAATAAGGTTTAATCAAAATACATTACAGTACTATCTGATTTTCAGATAACCTATTTTTGGGGATGGCTAGGTCCAAGGTATGGCTGAATATATGATATTTGGAGAACTTGAGTTTCAGACAAGTCTGGATTGGACAGAAAGTCTAGATTTAAATAACAACTAGATGAAACAATATTGTTTATATGATTAAAAATAAAAACAACAACTTTAAATGTTTTAAACATAGAATAGGAAAATTGAACCGATTTCCGTGTAACAAATTATGGGCTCATCTTATAATGTTGGTAGGTATGTATGTACTTGGAACAAAATTGTCTGGCACCTGTGATCTCAGTCAAATAGGAATAGGGTTTGCAGAGAGCTGCTTAAAGAGGGTATTGACAAGATTAAATAGGTATAGACCAATTTCGAGTTCTTTTTAATGAATAAATTATGCTGGTTGACCAATGGCGTCATTGAACAATTGACTCTTACTGTGATGCAATAACATATGCTTTGTGACATAGGAAATGTACGAGAAAATGCATGAATGTGAAATTAGTCTTTGACTATTGGGGAAAACCTTTTAGATATTTCATTTATATTCTGTACACAGTACGGCCGCCAAGTTTGGACGAGATATTTGTCAGTTGAATCAACAAACTGTATACTTTTACTAAATTCAAAATAGACTTTTTTCTTGTTAAATTTGGAAGTTATACAAATCTACATCAACATATAAATAGTTGTTAAATGGCAATCTTTTTTCCAAATTTGGAATACATGCATCAGTTCAGGTTCGTGAGAAAGGCCACAGAAATCAAGCTCATCACATATATATTTAAATATTTGTTTACCGGGAACATGTTTACCAATCATAAAAGTTTTGCAAAAATTAATGTTGTGCTACTTTTAAAGATTTGATATTCATGTTCAAAAGACATAATTCAAAGAATTTGCTTTCCTGAACTAATTGGACTCCTAAAAATTATCAAAAAACTTCATTTACACATTTTTTTTTATCTTTAATACAAAATCATTGACATCGAAATTTCTGTTTGATTACACTAACTAAAAGGTTTTTATTACTTTATTTCTTTCAATGAAGAATCCAATTAATTTCTTACCACTTTAATATAAATCATTCTATAATATGAAATAGTAAATTTAAATTTCATTTAACACTATGAAGTTAAAGTATCAATGTAGCTAAAATGGTGTTTAGACAAACATTCTTGAATACATAATTTTGAGAAACCTAGATTTAATTCTTTAACATATATTTTTCTTATTAGAAGAAGTTTTTTGGTGGCAACCATATAATTATTTGACTGTAGATGTTATCTCAAAAGACTTAAGTAACAATTTAATCATTTTGTAGGTCGTGGGAAGAAAACAGAGACTGTTAAGTTTTCCATATGGCTTGTCACCTTCAGAGATGAGAGAAATATCACATAGCAACTTTAACTAACACTTCTTTCTTGACAGAGAGGACTTCAAAAATAATAAAATGTCTTTGTATTTACTGAAGGTAAAATACTGGCATCATTAATGTTATTCAATTGTTTGTTTTTAAATTCATTTTAAATTTGTTTTCACAAGAAAAATTTGTCTTTGAACATATTTATCACACTATTCAGATTAAAGATCCTAAATTTCATACATAATAATAATATTAACTGTCCAAATTCACAATGCCATTGTGTTAAATTTCACAAATTTTTCATGTCTCAAATATAAGTCTTTACAAATCTCTCCATTTGTGTCAGAATGACAGTTAACCATGCAAACAAACAATGACCATCAGTTATTTTGTGTATACACAATATTACTGTTACAATGTGACTCAACAGGTATGTATCTTTTAATGCAAAATTCTTTGGTATTCTTTTAGCATTTCTAACTGATAAAATCTTATTTATATTTTTTAACTTAGCATGTTTTATTTGATAAATTCTGTTTAGCCATTATTACACAAAGTTTTATAACCCTTTTATTTCTTCTAAAACATGCATAAACCTAATTGTACAGAATAGTAAATTTCTATCAATTCAACAAAAGAAAATATTCTTTTTTTAAATTTTGTTTACCTAAAATAAAGAATATTATGCTATTTAATTCCACTTTCATTAAGTAGTAAAATTTCCCTAAGATGTGCCCCACTTTGCGTTTTCTTATTTTTCCCACACTTCGATAGTAAGACCTTGATGACCTTATGTAAACAGATGCAGGAAAAAACATTGTATTACCATAAATCTTCTGAACCTATGATAAACACAATTTATACAATGCCAAAAAAAACCTTCTAAGATTGAATACATTTTAATCAAATATAGGTATATTTAAATTAAAAACTGCAACAAAGGAAAATTTGTTTACCTCCAACAAAGAATAAAATGAAAAAGGTGAGAAGGAATGGTATTGATTCATTTTCTTTCGTTTCATACAGAGATATTAAATATTCAACCCCTTTTTTTGAAGCAATATTAAATTATTACATCATAAGATCAAATTTCTCCTATTCAAAATTCATTACATTTTAAAATTTTAAAATGTAAATAAAACTGATTTGAGAACCCTAAAACTAATCTTTCTTTGCCTCAGATATATCTAATTTTTAAGTAATTACTAGAAATAAGACCAAAGCAGGTTCTTATAATAGATTTATTCATATCATTACTGATACTGTTTTTCTGTCATTTTAGGACATTTTTCAACTGAGCAAGAACACTTATGAACAGGATATCACAATCTACCGGTTCAAACTTCGTGAAGTACTTGCCCATACAAACTAGAAACGTCATAATTGTACAGAATTAAAATGACATATGAAAGAGACTAAGATATGTGGTTTTAAACATGAACATATCTTGAAAATGCAGCTTTGAATCATTCATACATCACTTGACATAAAAAAGACAATTTGGTATGATGGCAAAAAAGATGCATTTAGTCAAAAAGGAACCAATCATCATTGCAGCCTGATTTATTTCTAACACAGATCAGACAGATGTCTAGTCAACATAGGAACCAGAATATGATTCATGATCATGTTACCAAACCTGTCATAAATACACCATCATCTTAACATCAGGGGAAATCAGTATTAGTGAAACATGAGTAGCTATTTCCCCTAAAAATCCAAATAATGAAAATTTATTACATGTGTATGTTCCTTACAAATCACTATCACCTTCTATAAATTTTACCAGTTTTTTGTTTGTTTGCATAGGACTGGCCCATATCACCAGAAATCAGGCAAAGAGAAAGCAATATCTTACCTGGCATACAGATACATCGCCATGCTGCTACATCATCCAGACAAGTTCCCTCATTCTGACAAGGATTAGAGATACATTCATTGATGTTCTGTTCACACCTGGGACCGTTATAACCTGGAGCACAGTCACACTTGAAACTTCCTTCTGTGTTAACACATGTACCACCATGTTCACATGGAGAAATGGCATCTGAAATTGGGAGACATTTTGCTCAACAAAAATCTTAAAGTCAAATTCTAATGAGTGGAATTATTCTAAAAAAAAATTTCAACAAATAAATTACTAATTTAATATAACAAAACAATAATTTATTGGATATCTGAAGACTATACACAAACATTTTCATTAAAGCACATTTCCTCTGTTATAGGAAACTGTGTTAAAAGCAATAGTCCTGTAATTTCACCCTAATTATGGAGCTAGCAGATTTAACAGTCCAGAGTTAATAGTTCAAAACATTTGTGATTACATTTTATACCTTCCCATTGCTTATTATATATCATGCTTAAATTTAATATTTTTTGAGGAATCACTCATAACTTTTTAAGATGCACATTCATGTAATTTATTTGTCTATATAAGCCTCATTGATAATACTATTGTGGATTGTGCACACTGCTGGTTGAAGAATAAAAAAAACACTTATCTGAATTTAACGGTAACAAACAAAGCATACTTACTTTCATTACATTCGTTTATATCTATAGAACAATCAGCTCCTGACCAGCCCTGTCTACATGTACATACAGGATCACCATTAATTGGGGACGTATCACAATTAGCTCCAGAATGGCAAGGATGACTAATACATGCATCATCCAAATGACAACGAAGACCTTTAAGCAAAGAAGAAACAAGTTTCATGCAAGATGTTTGAAACAGTGATAATAACAAAGAAAATAGTCTTATTTTATAAATTAGAACTATCATTGAAAATTACATGCTAAAAGAGTGCAAGAAAAAGAATATTAATTTTTATCGTCAATGGCGTGCAGCAAGTCACTTGTATGCTTTGCTTCATTTAGCCAACATTTTTAATTTTTATCAAACTTGCCTAGACAGGAAATCAAGGCTCTCATTTCTTTAATTTATTAATTTATGATTCATACAAAAATGCAAATTTTATTATGCTTCAAACAATATTAAGCATGTCAATAAATGCAAGTCCAACATATGATGAATCATGCATAAGAGTTATCAAGGACAAGATTTGTTTTTCTTTGTCTTGAGAACAAAAATGTTAGCTCAGTTGTTTTAAAAGATAAAAACATAATTTACCAGGAATATCCTCTATGGAATTTGATTGTTGCCAATCTAAATGTAAATTGAATAATATTATACAAGTCATGATACCAAAAGTGTAGTCTCTAAACAAATGATGATCTTGAATATATTTTTTTCAAATCTTGATGTTTTCATGGATTGTTAAATTGATCTGCAAGTTGCAGCAATAATATAACCTTAAGGAAGAATGTGGTACATACCTGTTTTACCAGTGGGGCATTCACAGTGGTAGTAGCCAACTTTGTCATGACAGGTACCTCCATTAAAACAAGGATCTGCAGCACAGTCATCAATGTTTGTGGTACAATTCTTTCCCGTCCATCCATTAACACAGATACATGTATAACTTCCTTGGGGACTGTTTAAACAAGTAGCTCCATTCTTACAGATTCCTGGTTGGGTAACACATTCATCTACGTCAAATTGGCAATAATAACCTACACAATTCCAGAAAATTAATGTTAAAGTTTGCACCTGAATATATTTCATTATAAAAAAGAATAAAATCTTCATCTATCCCATCACTTACAATGCTAAATGTTCAATTTACATACAAATCCCATGGCTTTTTCTGGTTGATGTAAAATACCTAAGTATAAGAATTGTGGCCTCTTCAGTGACAGCCCATTTTCACCTCTCAGCCAACATAAAAACATGGGAACTCTTTGTCCTGTTAGTTAAGTGCAGGGTGTTGTTGTACATCCACTTTACATCAAAAACATTCCTAATTAAATATGTTTAATACAAGATTTTCTTATTCAATTACTTGCTACACATAAAAGGAATAATTATAACTATTTTATTACAATTTACTACATTTTATGACAAAGTATTACATTGATGGTTTTAATCAAGATAGAGTTGTCAAGTCTTGTCTATGTTCATAATGTTTAATGAAGAGAAAACAAAGTGTTCTAGATAAAGACATGTACAATGGACAAATTTCCTATGTCCATTCTATTTAATCAGTGATCATTATCACAGGACTTCCAAGGAGGGACATGGCCATAACACTATCACTGTTTAATGCTTAATCATGCTCATTTTGACAGTCATAGTGATCATGAGATCCTGTTACAGATAAAGTCTCACAGCTAGATATTTGCTCAGTTGGTTGGCAGAAACCCTGCTTCTTTGATAAATTAAAAAAGCTTAAATAGCACCCTCTTGCAACCCAGTATGTCAAATTACTTGTTGGCATCTCATTCAAGCTGCAATATAGACTTCTTCCTCACTTCATGGTGAGTTCTGCTATCTACATAAAATTTGTAGAAGACTGACCAAGTAAGACATTGTATCATGGTTTGACTGGATTTTTTAATTCATATTGAGCTTTGACCTAAAATACTTTTGGGGTATTTCTCCCCTAATGTCTATTATGTCTGAAAAAGTTATTTAGCCTGTATTGTGTCAGCAAGGTTTTTGCCCTTGATCCTTGACCTCAGTTTAACAATTTTTCCTCTAACCATGGAATTCGTATAGATATATTTCCCCTAATTGGGATCAAGTATACAAGGTTTGTAGAAGACTAACTAAGCTGTTTAGTCTTGTCATTTTAACATGATTACAACCTAGACCTGGACTTGAACTGTACTTTATCTTTAAAAACACAGAAAGTCATTTGGGGTATCCTCTTCTCAATGTTATAAGGAAAACTAAGTATTAAGGAAGATAAGCAGAATCATATTTGACCTAGACCCCTGATCCCAATATTGGATCTCCATTGTATTGCCAGAATAGATGATTATAACAATTACTTTCAAAATCAATTATCAACTGGTTGATTTGGATTGCAAACTGCTAAAGAACATAAAAATAACTTTTTTTTTTAAATAAAATTAACAAGAAACATAGTCTAATGATGTTAACAGAATTCCATTCATAAATTTTTCCCACAGGCTTATTTTTGTAAAAAAAAAAACGATCATAGTTCAGATTTATTTAGTCCTGAGGACAATGAATCAAGATATTTAATCTTTTTATTTGACCTTTTCAACAGGGACATCCCAACAAAGTATCAAGTCATGTGTTAAATTTCCATCTTTCTATCTGTTATTATTATCTCTGACATTTAACATTGAGGTTGTAGCCCCACCACCAAAGGTCCACAATGACCATTACTTTATAAGGTGAAGAGTTTATACAAAGACATCTTTTTATTTTTTCCAATAAAAGGATTAGCTATGGTCAGTTCCTGTTTTGATATTTCCAATAAAAAGATACAATTATGGCGACAACTTTTCAAGAACCATAAAATTTAATACTATTTCAAATATAGCTTAAGATTCCCACCTTTTTGAAATTTTATGTTTTTAAGCAGAAAATCTTCTTATTAAAATTAATGTAAATGTGACATTTAAATGTTGGGAAGTGAAATGTAGTCTTTACAAATTACTACTCAGTGTATATTTGACAAGATTTTAGATATCCAGCTGCAGGTTAATAAACTTATTAAATTTTCTATACAGAAAACTATATATATATTAAACCAGCAACATAGGGAAGACATGTGCAATTAAGAATTGACTGATAAGGTGATGTAGGAGGTACAAGTCTTTAAAAAGGACATATGTAACAAGAATATTGTCTTTGATTTGAACCCTGTCAATTATTTACAGATTTTAAGATTTCAATGGATGCAACCTTTTTATACCCATGCTGCTGCTTTAAGCTTGAAACACTTATTAGAATAAAATTTTGGAACTTGGACCATTCATATCTATCAGCGACTATCATCTTTCCCCCCTTTTTTTTCTTGAACTTAAGGATGAGGTTGATACTAATCAATTTAAATGATCCAAGCTTAGGTATATATGGATTCTCCACGTCTATCATCAGCGGCCTCACTTTGACTATTTGCATAATACCTAAAATCTTTTCAAAAAAACTGCTTGGTTATTTTAAGGTTTCATTGTTTTCATATGATTTCCTGAATCTATCCTATCTTAACTCTCATCCTAGTTTCCTTTGGACAACCCTTTTAAAATTCAATAAGGACTATAAAACATGAACACAATTTGCCAAATTCACACTTAAGTCCAAGATTATACTGTTCATTTCCTGGTATTTGATTCTCAATATTTTCAGGTTCATTACCAAGGAATACTTATATTTGAAAATGAGAAAATTACTGATAATAATGCTTTCAAAAACAAGTTTATCAACCTTCAACTTAAGAAAGATGATTTGAATACTATGTCCCTGTAGTATTTGTACTATTCAACAAGTCTGACACTTCAGCTCCATTTAACAGCTTAAAGTATCAACTGCCACATCTCACAAATAAATCCACAAAATAAACATAATAAGACTAATCATAATCATTTCTCTCTATTTTTCTTTTTGCTGGTTTTTAGTTTTCTTAACTTTGCTTCATTAGCCTCATGTGTGTTCATCATTTTCCACATCAATAAAGTGTTTATTTAAGGTTATTTGACCATGTAAGCATGATTTACTAAGAAAGATAATGATCAACAAATATGGCTAACTCAGAGGAAGTGTCCACCTAGCAAATATCTGTTATGTTAACCTGTCAAGAGTTCCAATGTACTGCATGACACCAACTATCTTTTAAATCCATCGAGTGTACCGGCTTGCACTTTCGATCTACTCTAACAGATAAATAAAATACTGAAATCAAATACCAATTTCTTTGAAACAGGGATTTTCAACAAAAAAAATTTTTCTCCAAAAAATACTTCAATTTTGTAAACTTAAATTTTTGTTTTGACAAGCAAAAATTTATTGTTTCATAAAGTATTCTGCAGGTTAGTTTATTTCTTTAAAAATGCATTGACTTGTTAGAAAACAATGTTGATTTTTAAAGAACATTTAAGGAAACAGAAACAGCTTTAAAAAGAGATAAATTATTTAAAAAAAACTCTTGGGCGAGTCTGAAAGTGACTGTTAGGGGCAAGCGTGACTGCTGAATCGAGGTGACCATTAAGGCAGTTTTGATTGTATACTCATCCACTTTGTTTTTCAGTTATACATGTATTCACATACTTACCAGTATGAGTTGGTGGACATGAGCAAGTGTATGTATCATTGCCATCTATACAAGTAGATCCGTTAGCACATTGGTTCTTCTCACAGTCATTAATGTTGATTTCACAATTCACTCCTCGAAATCCTGAAAAAATAAAATCTTTTTTTTAGGAGGGTTGTGAATAATTACTTTTATTCTTGCATTTAAATTTTGGTGGCTGGCAGAAAAATCACTGATTCTTGGGTTTCTTTTTTTTCAGTCTACTAAGAACAAATGAAAAGAAAAATTCTTTTCTATTATATACTACATTTTGTGGCTTTATTTAAAGATGACAGCAAGAAAACTTTGCAATCCTATAATTAATTTAACAAAACCAAATATAATCAAAGTACTGAAGTACTGAACATCGGATGACCACAAGTTCTTGATGATGGTCAAAAGCACTTGTCTCAGAAAAAAACAACATATCTCTTTACCTAAAACTGAGGTTAATGTACAGATATATATTTTTTTCTAAGACAAGTTGGTGCGTGGATGATGAATAAATGACAGGAAATTCAACTTCACCGTAATAACTATTATATTGTAGTGATACAAATCAGTATACACTGAGTTGTTTTTTATATTATATTAAAATAACAGTTACATATATATATGATTTGAATCCATTTGTATATCATTCTATTCTACTATTCTAAAAATAATGCAATGCAAGTGCATGGTGGACACTTTTCTGTAAAAATTCGATTTTTCTAAGATTGGATACGAGTAGGCATTCATATTTTCCCGCAAAATCAATTACAGAGTTACCGGTCCTTGACGGTATTTTCACTAAACGTTCTTTGAGATATTCTTCCGCATGCTTTAACACAATTTTTCGGTACGTGTGCATTGATATTATCAATGATTTTTTACTTATATATATATATCTAACTACAAAACATTTTCATATTATTAATTTATGTTGTAAACAAAAATATTTTTATCAGTATTCATTGAAGAGATGTATTTATATCAAACGATTAGGAATGTTATTTTGCACTCGTTTATGTGCGCGTATTTATCATGTTTATAGATCGGTTACAAACCCAAAACTAATTTACATAATGGAAATCTAGGCGATAGCAATACATCGGGATGACCTCAAGGTCATCGCGATGTAAAAATTGTGCTCAGTGATATAAAACTCTACAAAAAGATGTTACTAATAATCTGTAGACTGATTTGGTATTTTAGTAGAAGAACCAAATCCATGTAAACATCATAGTTATGGAAACAACACATAACTGAGCCACGGAAACAAAAAAATCGTCAGGTCTTCAGTTAATTAGAATGCTTTTAATCATTCACAATTTAGTGTTTTCCAGTTTTGAAGCTGGTATTTCTTAGAACATCTGTCTTATATCCACCTTTTGGAATAAGGAATAGATACTAGTCAATTTTTAATTCTTAATCAGTGTGAAAGTTTTCACCAATCATCCCCATAACATTAGCCCAGATTTCGCAGTCGTGTACTTCTAATGAAATCACATTAGACAATAGGAAGATTGAATAGCTATTCGAAAATTAACATGTGACATTTTTTTTTTAATTTGAAATTAATAACCAGAAAGAAAAATACTGACTATTCCCACAATTTATGAACTGACTTACAAATTCTGTTCACACTCTAGACTCACATTTAGATCCTCAATTTTTCACCAGCCCTTACTGTTTAACCAATTCTTGTCAGTTTTATTGAGTTAATTTCAATAATAGCACATTTTAGTCAAATTATAATGCAATGATCTTCAATTAAGTAATAAAATAAGCCTAATCAAGTATTCATTGTAAATTTTATTGTTAACAATGCCATTCATTTTGTGGTCTGTCAGTTGTAAATTTATTTTTTAATTGTGCCTAATTTCCAACCATATGCAGTTTATTTTGTTTTTTCAAAGTTTGTGTTTTCTAGCCATAAAATTCAAAGTTGTCGTTGTGATTATGGAGATATTCTCAATTTCCATTAAATCTGTGCATTGATATACGAGTTATTTTAAAATTATTATTCAATAAATTTAGCACATTGCATTTCCCTTACAAATAAAATCACGACAACAATATTCCACAAAACAAAATATCAAGAAAATATTAAAACTGTCAAGGAAATTGACAATGAAAAATGGAAAATTAGAACCATTGAAAATTGCTCATAATGCCTTCAACAAGATGTAGAATGTAGATAAGAGCAAACATCCAACGAATTTTCAACGATCTGGGTGAAAAATTGTAGCACCAATTACCCATGATTTTTTTTTAAATATGGGTTAACCTTCTTTTGAGAATTTACAAATCTTGGGGTAATTTCATCTACCATATTTAGATACCAGATTTGGAATCCATACACCTAAACCAATATGATTTGATTCTGCAATAGTTTTGAGCAACAGTTTTAATCTGAGGTAAACAGTTCAATTGCTTAACCAGGTTCCCCAAATGACCTATACCATTCTTAATCTTTTGGGGGTATTAACATCATTTTGAACTTGTCAAAAATAAAACAAGTCTGCAGCACTTTGTAAATGTCATTTAAAGTGGCATATTAAAGTGTAGATTTAACAACCATCATCAGTAACAGCTGTATTTATATGTATTTGACATAAGTTTTAAATGTGACAGATTGTTAAAGCATTATCCTTCTTTTATCCAATTCCCAGGGGAAACTTTTCATGCAACTTTGCATAACTGTCAGCAAGAGCTAGCCTTTGAATTTATTATTTTAATGTTTAAAACATACAAGTCTATAAGCTGTAGAGTTGAGGAACAAAGAAGGAACTGTTTTATCACATACGTGCAATGTGTTAGAACACAAATAAGAAAACATAGTTTTTAAAACCTGAAATTAGAAATAATATTTCTATTTAAATTTTATATGGTTCTTTTTTTAAATTTTAACAGGAAAGCCATTGACAGGCATAATCATTGCATATTTTATATTTCCCCCTTGAATTTTATCCTGGATTTAAAAAAATATATCCAATCAAGCAAGTTAAATAATGATGTAGAAAACAAAAATTCCAATTAACAGAAACATTGCTGGTAACCAAGAATTTAGCAAGTTTCTTATATTCTTTTCAACTGTGAACAAACTGTTAAAAAAACAGCACAACACAGAAGACTTTTTTAATTGTTTTATGTGAAGCCATAAAAATATTGTTTCTTTTTTCATTTTATTTCTTTCTTTTAACTTTTTTCATCTTTTTATTTTACCTGGTACATCATGTACATTATGGAATACTTATTTCAATTCCCGAACATTTTGGTAAAAAAAAAAACTCCCTACCAATATTATGTGCAAAAATCAAAATTAAAAAAAACCTCCCTTCTCATATCTAGTGGAAGAATGGGAATTGAAAAAATTATTTGATTGTGCTACTTTAGTTTTGTCTGAACTTATACTTTTTGTCCTCAATGTTTGACAATTGAAATAAAATCAGATAAGATTGTTTGCAAAGGATGTGTATCAAAATAAACAATAAAATGTAAGTCTATTGTTAACTATTATGCAAATGAAATTCTTCCTCTACGCTTATTCCTACTATGGTAATATCTATGTAAGTTAACTGCAAAAAGACCACACTGACTTCATCATTGTGAACCCACACAAAATCATTATTGACCTTTCATTTTTCATTTGCCCATAACTTTGAAGTAAAAAGTGAAATCTCATTCTGTGTGTTGTTAGTGTGTGTTTTGCTATGGTTTTTAGGACGGGGTAGTTTTGAACCTATCTAAATGATTAATAGAAAAAAAAGATATAATTTTAAAGTATCTAAGGAATATTAACCTAATTTTTCAAGATTCCTTCAATATATGTTTTCAATATGTGAATAACGACATCTGAATCTACAAACTGCAAATAACAACTTTGCCAATTAATCATGTAAATAGTGGTATTTTACATTGCATCTTCTACTAAACAGTCACCTTTACTTTCAGTACCCAAAGCTTGATGAAAAATCCTACTTTAATTTCAGTACCCAAAGCTTGATGAAAAATCCTACTTTAATTTCAGTACCCAAAGCTTGATGAAAAATCCTACTTTACTTTCAGTACCCAAAGCTTGATGAATAAACTGCTGCGCCATGAGCGCATGCTACGCCTGTCGCATTTTCAAAGAATAAAGTTCAATCACTTCTCAATGTCATATCAGAAATTTATGAAAATCGAAAGGGAGCTTTTGTCAATAGATTTAAACAATTCACCAACATTTCATGAGAACTGCTGAAAGCATTTTTGAGGTATTGTCCGAAAACTGGAAAATCCCCCTTTTTAATGAATAAAACACCATAACTCAGGAAACGTAAAATCTAAAATTTATAAAATTCGAAAGGGAGCTCATGTCAATAGATATAAACAATTCACCAAAGTTTTATGACTAAACCCGACATGTTGACGACGGACGGATGGACAGACAGACGGACAACGGTATACCATAATATGTCCCGTAAACGGGCGAATAAAAATCCTACTTTAATTTCAGTACCTAAAACTTGATGAAAAATCCTACTTTAATTTCAGTACCGAAAGCTTGATGAAAAATCCTACTATGTATGGCCTGTCACACTGTCTTTATTGGTTGAAGAACAAAGAAAGCATAGACGACTTATTGTAGCCTCATTACGTAAGTTAGTAAATCAATGATGCACTGCTTTATATGATAATTTCATCTTTTCACCATAAAATGCTATGTTCACCCCCTAACATTTAATGTCTATGTTCGCTTGTGAAAACAATCAAAATATAAAAACAGCTTTGTACAAATAAATAAAATCTCATATTTAACATCTGATTATTTGTTCAGTCCTATCAAATTTCTTCATTTAAAATTATCAGAATTATTCAACCGAATTTCTATAATGTAAAAAATTTGCATCTAAAAAATCTAATCGAATGTAATCAACAAAGAAACACAAGATGGAGCTGTGAGCTACATAAAAGCTACATTAAGATTTTTCTTTAAAGAATATTTACTACAAACTACTAGTTGTAAGACCAATGACTTTCAATAACTTTATTCATGTCAATGTTAAACAAGTACAGGTTGTTCAAGCACAACATTTTAAATATGTTACCCAAAAGGGAACAAATTTACAAAAAAAACA